AATATTCTTTCCTTGTAGTGTTCATTATTATAAGCTACAATAAACACATTCTTGATCTTGTTTTGCAGGGAACACACACACCTGTGATAGTTACGTGGGTCAGCAGACCACAAAAATGGTGCGCTTTGCCTCGGCCTACATAAAGAGATGCTTAGGCGGCGGAGAACATGACGCAATCCTGTTTTGTGGATCTGGAACAACGGCGGCTATCAAGAGGCTGCAAGAAGTTATGGGCATCGCCGTGCCATCAATCTATCGAGAGACATTAATCAAATGCCTGGCTGACGAGGAAAGGTGGGTAGTGTTTTTAGGGCCTTATGAACATCACTCCAATCTCCTCTCATGGAGGCAGAGCTTGGCTCAAGTGATAGAGATTGATTTGGACGAGAATGGGTTGATAGACATGGAAGCTCTAAGACTGCAACTTGAGTCCTTTAAAGATGCAAACAGACCAATATTGGGTTCGTTTTCAGCTTGTAGCAATGTGACTGGGATTCGTTCTGATACTCGGAAGATCGCTAGACTTTTTCACCAATATGGAGGGTTAGCATGCTTTGATTTTGCAGCAAGGTAAGCTAAAATAGTAAATAGTTGATCTCTTTGATTTGTGCTTGTTTGATTGTTTTCTTGGTTCTAACCTTTTTTCTGTTTTGGGGTTTGAATTATATCAGTGGTCCTTATGTGGAGATTGACATGAGATCAGGAGAAGCTGATGGGTATGATGCTATTTTTCTAAGCCCACATAAATTTCTAGGTGGCCCTGGTTCGCCTGGTATTCTTCTGATGAGTAAAGCACTCTATCAGCTCAAATCTTCCCCCCCATCAACTTGTGGAGGTGGATCTGTTAATTATGTTAATGGATTTAGTGAAAAGGTAAGTCTTTTAATTTTCTAGTGGAAATTTTGGTTTTTTTTTTTTTGGCTTTTAGATATTGGTTTCACCTTATATGTATGTGCCAGGACACATTGTACTTGGAGGATATAGAAGAAAGGGAAAATAGTGGGACACCCCAAATAATCCAAATGGTGAGAGTGGCATTAGCATTTTGGGTGAAGGAATACATAGGTTATGAGTTAATTGAGAAGCAAGAAAATATCTACATACACAGAGCTCTGAAAAGGCTTCTTCCCAATCATAACATTTGGATTCTAGGAAACACAAGTGCTAAGAGACAAGCCATATTGTCTTTCATGATTTACTCCACCACCAATTCCTCCTCTCATGAAGAGAAAAAACATTCTGACAATGTTGACGATGCAAGGACAAAAAAGGTTGTAGGTCTGTATATGTGGGAAGAGGCAGGGAACAAGAGAGACAAGCCACTTAATGGACCATTTGTTGCAAGACTCCTCAATGACTTGTTCGGCATCCAGGCTCGAGGTGGTTGCGCTTGTGCTGGACCTTATGGTCATCGTCTGTTCGGTATAGATGAGACTCAAGCTCAAGCTTTCAGATCTGCCATTCAAAAGGTTAGCTTTCTTCTTATGTTCCCTTAGTGCGATTTGAAAACCTCAAGTTTTCTTTTGCATAATGTGATGAGGTTTTTTATTGGCTTGGCAACAACAGGGCTATTCAGCAGTGAAACCAGGATGGACAAGAGTGAGCTTCCCCTACTACATGTCCAACGAGGAGTTTGAGTTCATTCTTGCTGCTTTGGAGTTTATAGCTACTTATGGGCAGAGATTTCTCCCCTTGTATCACTTCAATTTGACAACTGGAGACTGGACTTTTAAACATGAGACATTTCAGGACATTTTAGGAAAAGAGAAGAACTGCGAAATTGGGTGGTTCCCACTGGCAGCTGCCGCGAATGCATTCAGCTTAGAACATGGCAGATTTGAAGAACACAATATAGATGACAAACATCAGCAAGGGATGATCAGCAAGTATGCATCATATTTGGAGAATGCTAAACAGATTGCTGGTCTGCTTCCTAAGTTTCCCCCTCAACGTAGGCTTCAAGGAGACATAGACCTTAACTTGTTACCCTTCAGGGTCTAATTCTTCTCCCTTTTATATTTGTAAATCTTGTCAACATTCATTGGCAATGATATAAGATTTGGACGGGTTATAAGCTTATTATAAAATCATTACTATACATATATATATATATATATACGTATTTCAGTTAAGACAGCATTTCACCTTTTTAGCATTTGCCGTTTGGGACATCTCATTAATTGTTTCTCCTGGCTCAAAGCAGTTCTTGATGAACCAATTGTTTTGAGCAAAAAATTACCTAATAATAAACGAACCCACGTATTTACAAATGACGAATAAGGATATATTTTCCTTCGTATTGTTTGCAAAATTGATCCTAATTTCTCATTAGCACGTTACTGAAGAGCTTAATTTTAGTTTGACAGTTCCTATCAACATTCTTAAATGTCCAAGTAGTTGATGGAAGAAAGCTGGAACAGAGGAAACTACCCTTTTGGGAAGAGACTGGCAGGGATAGAGTCATTCTTCAAAGCTCTCATAAAGTTCTAAAGTGGGTGTAAGCAAAAGATATTGCTCACAGAAAACATAACCAAAATGAGCACAACGTCATCATCCTCAGTCTTCTCTGATAATCAATATGTTGGAGGCAAAAGCTTGTTGTTTTTGTGTTTGTAATTTCAAAACAGAGAGAGAATAATACAGCAATTTAAATCTGAATTGTGGGTCGGCAGTGAGAAAAAAGAGAGCAAAAAAATGTAGAAAAAGGCAGAGAAAAAATGCAGAAGAAAATACAGCAGAGTGAGAGACGGCTTCTGGAAAAGTGAACTCTATATTTTGTAATTCATCAGCCTTACATATATATAGCATTTTTAAGAGAAGATATTTGCTACAGAAAATTCAAACTGTCAGCAAAAAATCAAGTAAAACATATTGTCAACCAAAACAAGTAAGAGTTGCTGATTTTCTTGCTTCAAAACATGCTTCCCCATTCCTTTCAATTACCACTTACTAACTAATGCAGAATAAAGAAAAAGTAATCATAATTTCCTGACTTCAGCAATCACTGTTGAAGAAAGCTCAACTGCTAATACTCCTTGAGTTTTCTTTCGAATAGTCAAAGCTTGGTCCTCAAGTCTTAAACCGTTCTCTTGGGAAAGCTTTAGTTGGGATGTCAGCAAGTTCTTCCTCTGATTTGCAATGCTCCAAACGGATCTCTTGGTTCTTCTCAACTTTGTGCAAAAAATGAAACTTAAACTTTTATATGCTTAATCCTACCATGTTGCATGAGAATCTCTCCAAGATCTGACATAGCAAATTCTTTCATCATTAATTGTTTAAACTGCTGCACCAGCTGCTTGAGGCCATACAATGCCTTCTTCAACTTGTATACCATGTCAGCCTTTCCATCAACTACAAACTCCTGAGATTGTTCAATGAAAATCTCCTCCTGCATATCAAGCACCTTTCATAATTCTCTATCAATAACTTAGTTTTTGTATCTAGTGTGTTTGCCGTTTGATCATCAAATTATGTAGAATCAAGTTGAACCTTTTTAACATGAACACTTTGGGAACTTAAAGTTGCAACAACTGTATCTTCTATGTGTTTCTTTGCTTCAACTTGTTTTTTATCCCAATTCCAAAATGTTGATTCATCAACAAGCACATCCTTACTTTTTTGCATAAACTTCAAAGAGTCAACATCGTCATGGGTAAATCTTTTGTGCCACAAACAAGTCAAATCATCCTTACCAAAAGCATGTTGATTTGCATATTTCATATCAAATACATAGCTATTCTCATTTTTCTTGATCTTTACTACTGACATATTTGCAGGATTATAAATAAAATAGTAATCATTTTTGAACAAAATAGAATAACTCTTATTCTACATTTGAGCAGCACTCAACAAAGTTTGCTCTAAACTAGGAATAAAGAGCACATCAATTATGAGTTTAATACTTTACTTAGTTTGAATTGGTGTTGAACCTTTTCCTTGAGCTTCCACAATAATCCTATTGCCAAATTTCACTTAGTTCTGCAATTAACATCCAAGTTGCCGAACAACATACGATCCTTGGCCATATGGCTTGTGTACCCACTGTCAACATATGAGAAATCGTTTCCACTCACACAAGATGCCTCAGTCATCATGAAAAGATAACTTTCCTGTTGTTTATGGTTCTCAGCAAAATAAACTTTCTGTTGCTGAAATGGTTGCTGCTGTTGTTGAGGCTCATTCTTTTGCTCTGATGCTTGATTTTTTCTCTTCCAACACATCTTCTCTGAATGACCATAATTTTTGCAAATCTTGCATTATACATGCTTCCAACACTTACTCTCAAGAAAATTGGATTTACAACAACTTCCACAAGGGGGATACTTTCTTTTTTCTTATGAATCTTCTGAACTCTGTGGTTGCTTCCCTTTACTTGTTGAGAATTGACCTTAATCTTTTGAAGTTAAAGTCCCAAACTTATAATTCTGCCTCACTTGAAAAATATTTTTAGTGATCTTATCATTTCTAATTGAAAACCTCTGCTCCCAAGCCTGTAGCTTATTGATAAATTCAACACCAGTAAGCTTCTCAAGATCGCATATTTCTTCGATCACAGACAGCTTCGATTCAAACTTTTCAATGTGTTAAATTTAATGATTTTTTATCTGTTTAGTTTCAAATTTGAATTCAAATCAACCATGAAATTGTTTCACGGTAGGATACGTAAACACCATGCAACGTGTATGCATGGATTTCGGGCTTTTTGATTTTATCGTTTGATTTGATGTAATCTGTTTCTAATATTGCATTCTTATATATACAAGCAAAAAATAAAATGAGAAGCAGTTTTTTCTTCTCCAAAAACAGTCTTTCTGAAAATTGCAAAACAGAAGCTATTGCATAACCTTACTCTGTTTTGTTGTCCCTCTCTCTCATCAACTTTCTCTCTCTAAGTTCGCTCATTCACAGAGCTTCCTTTGAAGTGCATTTACTTACGATCAACAAGTGGTATCAGAATTCTTATCTTAAGGGACCGGTAAATCAACATACCCTCGAAAACCCGATAACATCCACTGGAACCTCACCTCCCCCAAACTTCAACGGAGAAAATTACCATGTATGGGCGATCAAAATGAGAGCCCATCTGAAAGCCTTAAGTCTGCGGGACGTTATTATGGATGGCAGCGATCCTCCTCCATTAGGGGACACGGCCGCTCTAAACCAAGTCAGAAGGCACGAGGAAGACAGGGCCAAGAAACCAAAGGCTATTGCTTGCCTTTTCTTGGTTGTCTCGGATAGTGTTTTTAAGAATTATAAACTTCGAATCACCAAAGACTGCTTGGGAGAAACTGAAGGAAGAGTTCGATGGGGGAGTCAGAAGCAGGAAGATGAAAATCTTGAAACTGAAGAGTGAGTTTGCATTACTCAGAATGCAGGAAAATGAATTAGTGAAGGACTATGCCTCCAAACTCTCGGATGTGGTAAACAAAATGAGGCTGCTTGGGGAGGATTTTCTGGAATCAAGGGTGGTAGAGCAGATTCTTATCAGCTTACCCCCTAAATTTCAGTCTAAAATCTCAGCCTTGGAGGAGCTTGCCGACATTGAATCTATATCCTCGGCTGAGCTAATAAACAAGCTTCAATCCAGTGAGCAGCGGGTAAATATGCATGTTCGACAACATACTGAGGGAGCCTTAATTTCAACTCAAATCAAAGGTAGCTCTTCAACACAGAATCAATGGAGAAGGAGTGAAGGGAATCAAACAGGAAATCAAAATTCCAGTAAGCAAAAGAAATATTCTCAGTGCAGCATTTGTTCATCGACAAATCATCTTGAAAATGAGCGCTGGTACAAGGGAAAAAAGCCATTCGGTGCAACTTATGCAAAAGGCTTGGTCATAAGGAGAAATTATGCAGGCAGAAACAGAAGCAGGAAGGATTGCAGCCAAAGCAGGAACTACAGCATGCCAATGTCACTGAGGAGTCCAGTGAGCAACGTGCTACAATTCTCGTTGCATCAAGTGAGCTGTCAGTGGAAGATGATCCTCTCTGGGTGGTGGACAGTGGGTGCACCTCTCACATGTGCAAGGATGAGGCCTTGTTCGTGTCACTTGACAAAACAGTCTCAGGTCAGGTACGGCTTGGAAATGGTATGCTGGAAACCATCAAGGGCAAATGTAACATAGCCATTGAAACCAGGAAAGGTAGGAAGCTTATTACTGATGTGAATTTTGTTCTTACCCTCTCACAGAATCTTT